CGGCACCCCACCTCCCTGCACCCCACCACCCTGCACCCCACCTCCCTTCACCCCACCTCCCTGCACCCCACCACCCTGCACCCCACCTCCCTGCCCCCCACCTCCCTGCACCCCACCTCCCTGCACCCCACCTCCCTGCACCCCACCTCCCTGCCCTCCAGCTCCTAACAAAGAGTCTCCCATAACAAGCAGGATCTCCCAGTGGTCTCAACGTCTGTCTTCCCGACCAGACTGGGAGCTCGGTGCAGGCAGGGTCTATATCCGACTTGTCCCCACCTTCTCCCCGTCAGGACCCGGCGCTGCCCTAGCCGAGCGGAATGGACGAGCAAGCAGATGGATGAATGGGTTGATGGCAGCCAACCTGGGGTTGCTCTGTCCCGTGACAGCATCTAACATCAGTCCAGTTTTGCTCACAAGGAGAACAGGGCCAGGTGACACAGGCCAGGCCAGCAGGCGGGAGAGGACCCACCTCCCTGTTGCGGAGAGCTTGTGGAGCTCTGCGGGCAGAGAGCGACCAGCGGGTGTCCTGTCGTAAAGGGTCTTGAGCTGTGCAAGTTCGGACTTCATCCTGAGGATGGGGAGACCCTAGAAGGGCCAAAGGATGCTGTGCTGTGTTTTAGAAGCACTGCTGCGAGAAGGCTGGGCTGCGGAAATGGCGGCATGTGGGGGGTCTCATGCAGGTGGACAGTCCTGCCCCCATCACGGTGTTCATCTCGGGTTTTCCCCACCGCCCAGCCTCCCACCGCCTGGCACTCAGCAGATGGTCAGCTATCTTGCCGAGTGTGTGTCTGTCTCCCCTCTGTGTCCGCGGGAGGGAGGGTCAGAAGTCTGGGGTCCCTGCCATACACAGCTCACAGGGCCCGTAACCGCCCACTTTCACAGTGAGCGCCTCTGCACCTGAGCTGCTTTCTGACACCTATGGCCAGGGATGTAAATTAAAACAACCCATGCACATTTTGAAAGCTAATTCCATTGCTTTTTGACAGAATCCTTTTCCCCAACCCCTGACGGGCTCACCTGTGCAGCTCCTCCCCTCCCAGCCACCCGGCAGCGGTCCAGGGAGTGACTTGGAGGCCCCCACAGTGAACTCTGAGGCAGGGAGCTCACTCTGGAAAGAAGCACCGCCCTCGTGAGAAATGCGTCTCTAGGTGGTGAGGGGCAGGTGGGAAGGAGTAAGTTTTAAAATCACAGACCCTACCACATGCCAAGCAAATTCACAGGGACCCTTGAGTCGCCAGTGCGTGGGACACATCACTGCCACATTTTAAAAACAGGGCCCAGAGGGCTTCCCTGGTGGCGCAGTGGTTGGGAATCCGCCTGCCGATGCAGGGGACACGGGTTCGTGCCCCGGTCCGGGAAGATCCCACATGCCGCGGAGCGGCTGGGCCCGTGAGCCATGGCCGCTGAGCCTGCGCGTCCGGAGCCTGTGCTCCGCAACGGGAGAGGCCACAACAGTGAGAGGCCCGCGTACCGCAAAAAAAAAGGGTAAAAACAGGGCCCAGAGAGCAGAGATGACAATGTTTTTAAACCGTCTTGTGTTTTTTTCTGATTACAGAAGCACCATGTGTCAAGTGAAGAATATCTTCCCCATTAACTTTAACTTGCATTTTAATCTCACATATTTATTAGCATTTAAAGTCCAACCTCCTGCTGTGTTCACTTCAATTAATTTGTCTGATTCTAATTAGTTTTTCTAATTAGTTTTTCATTTAACTTTCCAGCATTTTTATCCTTTATCTTTTTAACTGGTTAAATGCTCAATTTTTCTTTTATTATTAATTCTAAGCCCCTTTTTTTCCCAGGAACAATCAGTATTGATCTTCACGTATAGGTGCAGTGTGTGCATCTCTGTGCCAGCGCTGCAGAAGTGATGGTAAGTGTAAAGCACTCAGTCTCACAAAACCAGAGCCAGAGAATTAACGGAGACACAGCAGGCACTTTACTATTTTATAAGCTTTTGTCTTGTGCAATATAACAGAGCCACTCCATAAAATATGCATGTAACAGTTTAATGACTTAGATATGAGCATCTGCGTCCTTGCCACCACATCAGGAAACAGAACACTGAAGATCCAAAGATGCAGCTCGCCCTGCCCTCCCCCAAAGGTTCTGCTGGCTTCACTGAAACCACTTCTTTGTGTTTATTTGTACTTTGATCACCTAAGCATGCACCCCTAAACATTTCAGTTTGGCTTTGCCTGTTTTCTGAACTTTGTACAAATGGAATCATAGAGCATGATTGTTGCACATCTGGTTTCTTTCATC